TTTTCTAAGCTAGTAGCGTTGGTGTAACTTCATGAGCTATGACATCCAGCCAGTTACGTTAAAGGTTTAACACATTAAAGATAAGACAGGTCACAAGCCTCTACCATAACTTTGAGCAGGAAAATTACTTTCATTGGAATCTAAGCTGTTAGTTGCGCAGCTAATCATTTAGGTATTGACAATCCTGATGAACAGAATCGAACTGCGTAACTCACAGTCAGATCACATGGAAACAACAAGAAAATTCCCACAAACCATAAACATAACAGCTCATGCTCTGTTCAGTACAGTTCTATGATAAAGTAATGAAAGAGAGGATAGTCGGCAAGAAAAAGGTAAATAAATGGACAGAAGGACAAACCTCAAGTTTGAAATGCTTCTGCAGTTCCCAAATAATCACTTGAGAGTCTGCTATTTGTCTACCGTTTAGCTCAATAAAAGGTAGTAAACCGCGTGTAGATCGCTGTCGATATGATCCTATAACCTAAAGCAAAATCAGACAGAATGGTATATATTAAATATGTATTTATGAATTGAAACTGAAGCAAAACAATTAATGAAGTAAGGAGTAAAAGAAAAAGATACGTCAAAATACCCGAGCTCAACTACTTGGAGCAGGGTCACGCAGGCCGATGAGGGGAGCTTTTAGAAATGCGACTTTACTGTATTGTGCACCAAAATACTATCGATCTGTTCTGACTTGGTGTTTTGTCAGGTATATTTTATCGCAGCAGTACACCCCACGGTAGGCGATTTATGGACAAAACTTCAGTCTCGGACGGGACTTGAACCCGTACTGGTGCTATTCGGGCAGGTACGGGTTCGAGTCCCGTCCGAGCTGAAGTTTTGTCCATAAATCCCGGGAAGCACAAGTACGGGAACGAGTCCTTCCGAGACCGAAGTTTTACTATCTATCTTTTTCATCAATATTCTCCAAAACCCCTATGTTTACCAAAACCGATTTACGATATACAACTTGTAAAAACTGTTGTCATGACCAAGGGTAAATCACAGCCCAGCAAAAAGTCAGAAGAAATTTCAATTCTCACCTCATATCTTATATTGTTCACACGTAAAAATGTCTCAACTTTCAAGCAAAACGGTGACAAATTTGGCATCGCTGGCGATCGTGGGAACTGATACAGATAGACGGTATCTTGTTTCCAATTATTCTTAATAAGCGGGACACTGCTGTAGAACCTGAACAATAGAAAAGTAAGTGCCATGACAAGAAAACAAGATGAAGTAAATGGTCGAACATTTTTGAATTAAGGTTATAAATGATACCTTAAGGCATCTATTGGTGATTTAGCAATAACCAGCCGGACAGCGCCTTGACTGCCAACCATCCCCGTCATGAGCCGCATTTTCGTACTAGAAGAGAACCTTAATCTTGACGCTGCTTTTCAAATAGGTGGCAGTATAAGGATAACACCAGAATCGAGCAGTAGTAAACAACGTAGGGAAACTATTTATAGGGTCAAATATAAAATTCTCGATATCAGCAATGAGATAGTTCTATAAATCATAAAAACCTGAACAACAACCTGTTATACAAATTTAAAAAAAGTAACAATAACTCAGAGAGAGTGAGCTTTCTTGTAATCTTCATATCGTTGTTTTTGCTCCTGATATTCCTGCATATTCTGCTGTTGTTGAATGGATTTCAAACGGTATTTGACTCCTTCCTGACGTCGTTCACGTTGAGCCCTTTCGTCCCACA